GAATTAGTTGCATATATACGATAATCTTACTTTCACTTACATGATGCCAACCTCCACAAGGTTGTCCATCTTCGCAGCGCTGAGTGGGAGGAAACAGTATGAGCCAGTTATAACCGACCGACACGGGGATAATTGCACACGTACACTGCTGCATTCCCCATCATCCTCCTTCTTTTGGGCGAATGGCATCTTGTCGCCGCATGCTGCATGAGAAATCAGTTTTTCCCAAATACTCAAGGGTAGTTCGAACTCTTACCGCAAGCCTAATAGCAGGTATATGAGCATAGAATCATAAACCACAAAATCCATTGAAATGCTTACCGTTCTGATGTCAGACCTGGAGTTCGTCCAGTAGTCAGCTTGACTGAGAAGAGCCACCGCCAAACCCCGAGCTCGACAGGCACTGGTGCATTTGTCCACAGTCATGTGATGCATAGAGTCATCATCATTCAGAGGGAGGATATAATTTCCACTATCCCTGAATATTGGGGTTAAACGAAAGGACTCTCCGTTGAATGCAAAACACCCACCCGTAACACCCTTGAAGAGTATAGACATCACCAGTCCCAGGAGCTGGATAAACGTGGCCAGTGGCTTTACGCGACCAGATAGTCCACTGTACGACGTTGAGTATATATGAAACATAGCAACTAAATTCCTACCGCAGCTCGAGTACTACCACCGCAGATCTGGTCTCCATAACGTGGACAGACCTTGATAGACGGTTAGTAGGCGTAGTAGAAGTGAATTTATTCCGTACCGTAGAGCATTGTTGGGGGGGAAGAGTCTCGGGGAGAGCCAAGAAACATTCTGGGCATATGAGTCAGAAGTAATATAAGTCGAAGGCCAAACATACGGCAGATCTAGAGACTTGTATAAGATAAAGGATACAGAGTATGCACATGGTGAATACTCACAAATCCTTGATTGGTGGCAGCCACCGAGAATCCCTCCCGCTCGCACACTTGAACGCACTGGGACATAGAAGCCCAGCCTTGCATCCAGTAAGACTCATTTGGAACATATTCGTTGATACTGTGCATAAATAGTGATTAGTAGCCTCAGTTGGATACATATGTAGAAGTACACACGATGAGCAGCCCCTATAAGTCCAAGCCTCGTAGCCTTCAGGGATCACTGGTTCCGGTTCTGGTTCGGGCTCTGGTTCTGGTTCTGGTTCAGGCTGAGGCTCTGGTTCGGGCTCGGGCTCGGGCTGAGGTTCAGGTTCAGGTTCAACTTGATATACGCTTAGCTGAAGCGACTGATCAGTAGCCATTCTACTCAAAACAGAACAAATCATACCCTATTGCCTCCTCCGCAGATCCGCGTCGAGTCCCCTGCACATGGCTAATCCGAATGAGCTTCTCACCTCTACAATGATAATCATTTGCTTACCATAGCGCAACCTTCGGTAGCCGCTTGACTAGGAAGAGCATTTCCACAATCTACCTACTCGTGAGCTACATCCACAGCTCGCCCTTAGCGACATTACTCACAGCATTCCTATTTCAGTGTATGAGTAAACCGTACAGCAAAACGGACACATCTAGACTCACCGATGCGTATTCCAACCCAGCGACCGTGAATCCATCAGCCTTGCACGCGTCGATGCATTTTTCGACCGTCATCTGGGCGAGTCCTATCGT